GCTTGTATTATTCCTATTTAGTTCTTATTTTTATGGTCTTGAAATGTTTCAGATTCTACAGATCCCTTTATACTTTCTCCTCCATCTTTACTGTTTACTCAACTCTTCTCAGTTTGTCTCCTTTTGTGAATATCATGAATATGCTCTTAGTCTGATCACTAAAGATAGCAAATAAGTATGGTCATCACTTGATACCTCATTAGATATTTCTTAAAGACTGATCCATTCCCTTATTGCCTTCTGTTTATAGTCAGTGACCTAATTTTCAATCTACATGTTTTTATCCAAACCAATTTATGTTTTAAATTTTAACTTATGAAATTATATCAAAGTCAGATTGGATAAAATATGATTTTAAGTTCACAATACATACAAACATGTACAGTTTATTTAAATAAGGGGTGAACTAAAAAAAGAACAATTTAATATTAAATTTAAATTTTATGATAACATAGGTTAAGGCCTGATCTTACCATAATCTATTAATATTTTTTTAATTTAATGTAAATGATTTTAACAGTATGTTTGCTGCCATGTTTTTAAAAAAGTCAAACCACTGAATGGATGGAAGTCGCTGCCTAAATATCTGGAACCAGAGTGGGCTGAAATGCTAAACTGGTTTTTGACAGTGGTAGCCTCTTCTCTCTGTACCTGAAGAATATCTTTCTTTTAGCTTATTGAACTACTTCAGTACAATGACTAGTTCACTCAAAGTTAAGAAATCAACTGAAAGTTCAAATAACAGGACAGTTTGTTTTCCTCCTCTGACCTCATTTTTAGCCTGTAGATCAGAGAGCATAAGACCTATTAGTTGAAAAGCAGTGATAAAAAACAATCAGTACAATATTCTTACTACAGATGCTTCCTTTTTAAAATAAATCATCAAATGCAAAATGTGTTTTGGCAAACTTTTTAATAGATTTTTCTTAAGTATTATCACATAAAGTAATTGTTTTTAACTAAAACAACTTGAAAATGCTGTTGTACATTTTCAATAGACTCTGAATGTCTATCCAAACAGAGTAATGGAAATCAAAAGTAAAAACTGTATCTAAGTAAACAATGCTCTCCCTGTAAGCTGTGCACTTGTGCCAGCCACTCAGGAGAGATTCAAATGCTGCCCAGCTGATTAGCCGAGCACCCACAACTAGGTTGTGTGTTTCTATTGGTGGTGCACATTTCTAAATGCCTCAGTGCACATAAATTTGCATTCTGCATATGGCTGGAAAAGATTAGAAGGAACTTTGTTAGTAAATTTTCCACCATTCACCATTTTCTAACTAGGGATGTAAATAACATTGAAAAACAGTAACTGTGTAATCAGCTAAAATTCTATTGGTTGCACTTTTAAATGTTTAACCAGGAATCCCCACTGCCAGCCCCATACTTGGGGATCCCCAATTTGGCCACGGAACCCTTTAAAACAAAACAAACAAAACCACATCATTAATAATAAAAAAAAACCCTAAGTGCTGATGTGACATGATTTCTGTGGATAACCAGGGAAAACTGGTCAACTAAAACAACCGGGGTGGGGCAAGCTCAAGCAAAACTAAACCAAAAAAAAATGCCGGCCTGCCCCTAAGACTGCAGCAGCCGGCAGCCCCTTGAAAATGGCAGTCCCAGGGGACCGCTCGGCTCGCCCACCCCTAAGACCCTAAAGGAGGGGGGGCCCCACAGAGGGTGATCAGGTTCCACAGAAATCTTACTTTCACTTCACGGAACCTCGGGGTTCCGCAGAGCATATTTGGGAAACTGCCCCAGAGAATATGGCTTCCATTTACTAATGAGTCTACCAGACGCAGGTGCCCATCTCTCACTGATACTCATGTCTTATGGCCTCTGTAGTCCCTCGTTAATTTTCTAATTCTATCAAAATAGAGCAGTGATATTTGTCTAACAAGAGTAATACTTTAGAAATTGAAGCTATTGTTCAAAGTTATCTCCTAGATGTTTACTGATACCTTATTCTTAATATTTATTCTATTTTTTACTATAGAACAAAGGTAGACATTAATTTACAGGCTCACCAGTTCTATTGAATATTGGCACCATGTTTTACTTGAGCCTGTTACCTCTCTTAGCTATCACAATTTGTCAACTATAAATGTCAGTAGGTCAGTAAGTTTGTTATCCACAGAAATCATGTCACATCAGCACTTAGGTTTTTTTTTATTATTAATGATGTTCAAAATTTCTCCTCGCAACTTGAGCTGAATGGTTTGGATACAGGAGATGATCTTGTAACTAGAACACTGGATTGACTCAGGAAAACAGGATCCTATTCCAAGCTTTGCTACAGATGCACATGACGATGAGCAAATTGCTTAATCTGTCCCTCTGTTCCTTACCTGTAGCAATAGAATACTACTACTACTACCACCACTATCTGGGACTATAAAAAGAAATTAGTGTTGTGAGGCACTCAGATATTTTAATGCAGTAATCCCTAAACTATAGGGGATTACCCCATGGGGTGGGGGAGAGGCACAGGAGCCCAGGCTAGCACCTTCAAGGGATGAGGACAGAGAGAGCAACCAAACCCTAATCCATCCCCAACTATGCTGCAGCTCCGTTACTGGTCCAGACCCACCTCCAACTGCAGTCCTAACCTTGGCCCACTTACCTCAGTCTGCATCTCTCCCCCAAACCTCTCAGAACCACAGTCCCATTACCGCTCCCCCAAGAGGACAGGTACAGGTCAAGAGGGCTACTACATTCAAAAGTTTGGAGACCACTGTTTTAATGATACATGCATAAACAAGACTATAAATAAATCATGTAACCAGTTCTCTACATAAACAAGCACTTTTACATTAAATAAACTTTCAGGAAGTCCTTACCACAATGAGGCTCTTGGGGAGATCCTTTCATAAACAACATGCATGGTGCAGCATTTATCAGTTTCTTTAGACGCACATTCAGGTCCTCCTTTGCATTATCATTAGCACCAGCTGAAATAGTACTGCTAGATGCATGGCGCTGGACTTTTTTGGTCAACTCTGGGGCATGGGCGCCATCTAATCTGTCAATTTTCTGAGAATTCTAAATAAACCAAAAGAGTAGCTCAGTTAAGAAGCATTAACGAAGAGCAATCTTTCAGACTACTAAAAATTAGAAGTTTTATATGTATTACATCACTTCATATTATAGATTTTCAGATAAGCAAACGATGGATTAGCATTACCTCTTTAATCCCAGCAAAATTCTAAAACAAAAACTAGTCTGTTGACCATAACATTGTCTGTATCAAATAAAATTCTTATTACAAAAAAATTAACAAATTATTACAAAAATAAGCACCAAACATGCTATTTCTACTGGTTAATCATCTGTTAATTCTTCACAAGCATTACAATTTACAATTCAAACAGAAAAGCCATGAAACCTCACTAGAACCATGCCTGAAAAGAGTCCTACATCTCTCAGGTACTGTAAAGCAATCTATGAATTCCAAGGCATTTTAAGTAGGTTCTGAAATATTAAAACTAGATTTTCATAATCATTTCTGTAAAATGGACATTCTTGTGTCCTCAGTTCAAAAAAAGCATATGGAGACAGACTGTTAGCAGTTTCTACATTAAGAAAAAGGAGTACTGCCCTTTTTAGTACTGAAAAGTAGAATGAACATTTATTGGTACTGAACTGCTGAACTTGACACAGCTATACATGAAAATAATATGCAATCCATTTTCTCTTACCTTAAAAAACAAGAATGTTGGAACAGAACTAATTTCATATTTTTCAGATACTTCAGGTACAGCTTCAGCTTCCAGCTTAAAAGTCAGAGAAAACATGCTTTTATTTTCATAATTTTCTTTCAAGTTTTGTTTGTGCATGTCAGTGCTTTTTATAATGTTTTTCTCAACATTTTGTGTGTTTAAAAAGGAGTTTGATGCAAAAATGTTAAAGACATTTGCATTTAAATGAGACTCACTGGACTGGCATGTCATACACTGAGCCTGCACAGTGTCAAAACAGGTTCAGGGGATTTTATTTTGTTGCACATTTCAAAAGAAGCCTAGAGGCTGTGAATAAAATTTTTGGTGCACTAGTGACCTAGTAAATTTTCAATCATATGCAGCTACTACTATATTGAAATCCATAAATCACTGACCCCAGTTATGTCATGATTACAGTGCTTATTTTCTGCCCACAGCAATTCTTGCTGTTTGCTCTATTGACTAATTTCAAGAGGCAGTACATCATGACTGACATTTGCAGCCTTCTGCAAATTATGAAGCAAAAAGGAGTATTTCTTCAATAAACTATTGATGTCTGCTAAATTTTACTTTTAACTCTTGCAAAGCTGCTGGACATTAAGTAGAAAGCTTGTCAAACTATTGGTCCAGAAGCTTGGTCATTCTTAAAATATATATTTTGAAATGTTAAAAGACAATTTTTACCAAATATAAATCTTTTTATGAAGCATATGCACTGTGTGCATTATGTCTCTGCTTCTGACTTTAAAGACACACAAACTTTTGAGGTTGGTTTTGTTTATTGCAATAAATGTTGATTTCCTGTTAATATCCATAGAGCTAAGTGGAAAAAAATCAAAGTAAAAATAAGATGATAAAATAGTGAATATAAATACATTTCAAAAACTAACACACAGAAACATGTGATACCATTTACAGGTGCCCAAAGCCTTGCCAACTCCTCTTTCTCCAAACTGTAGAGTGGGGAACTATCATCAGTAACTAAAAGACCATTTACAGTTGCTGATTTCTTGTTCAGAATATTAACTTGGGATGTTAGATAACAGGTAATTAAATAGTCATGTAACATCATCACATTTTAATAGTTAAATGACTATTTGATAGTCTCTAGGGAATGAGTCAGGAGCCAGTGTGCTCCTGGCCCCATTCCTGGGGAGCCCCAGCCACCCCGCACTGCTGCCAGTGTGGGGCAGCAGCAGCCTCTGACTACAGGGGGAGGGAGGGTGTGCTCCCCACAAAGGCTTCTCCATGAGATGCTAGAGCAACCCCTGTCCATGGCAAGCTCAAGCCTCCCTCCCGCAGACCCAGGCCTGCCACAGAGCAACCTCTGACTGCAGTGAGTCTGAGCCTGCCAAGGACAGAAGCTGCTCCATGGCAGCCTCCTCTGCACCCTCCCACTGCAGGTTCTGTTGGAAGCAGAGGGGGGAGGGTGAGGGGACACATGGACAGCAGACTTAAAAGCTGTCATATCACCATGCACCATGTCATCACCATGCATATCAGCTCCTGCCTGCCACCCCACGCCACTGTCTCTGATAGAGAGGTAGCACTGTGGGGGGTGGGGGTAGCTCCGCAGGTGTCAATATGCGCAGGCAGCTGGCTTAAAACCTGGCTTCCTGTGTGTACCAGCTTCCACCAGCCCACTGCCCACGCTGGTGCCCCTCTATCAGAAGCAGCAGCGCGCGAGTGGGGTGGGGGGGGGAGGGCGAAGGGCTCCAATGGATCTGATGCTTGTGGGAAGCCAGCTTAAAAGTCTCCGATACACATGCAGCAACGAAGGAGAGTGTGTAGTCAACAAGATTAACCGAGAAGCCCAGGTTTGTTGGTTAATCGTGTAGTCATCTACAAGATGGCATCCCTAATATTAACGTTTTTAGAAAATGCCACTGCTGGCTAGTCACACCATTTTCTGATCTTTCTATATACATATATATTGCTTTAAACATTTCAGTGTTGTTTGTAAAACTAAGTTTTGATGTGTTACACCCATAAGGCTTTTAGTCTTACCATTTTAGATGCAAGGGAAATAATTTCACACCTCACCACATCTGGTAGGCAAAAACAAAGAAATGCATGTTCCAGAGAGGAATTGAGGGTTTTCTCTCTCAGCTTGAGTCCTATCCAAAGCCCCCTGACATCAATACGAGTCGTCATGGACTTTGGATCAGGCCCCATAGATTTCTCTTGTTCTCAAATTAATTTTTGTCAGGCTTGATCCTTCACTGAAACAAGTAGTCATTATGCACTCAGTGATGCAATCATCATCAAGCAGACATTCAAAATTTCCCTCTCTGAAATATACTTCTCAAGATTTCAGAAAAATATTTGAATGCAGTGGAACTGCAGCTTAACTTTATGAACCACATCTTACAGAATAAGCCATGACTGGAATTCTGCCAGACTATCACAAAGAGATTTTTAAGAAGGTTTTTTTAAATAATCTCCTTTAGGTTCTACCTACAGCTTTTGACTGAATCATAAGGATTGTTTGCTGCACACAACAGATTTTTACAGTACCCCTCTCAACTGGTTTATCCTGAATTTGACCAACCAGTAATAGACTATGTCCCTTAATGTTGAGACTTCTATCCCTAATCAAGCCTCATAATCGAATCTCTACACAAATTAACTGAGAAACGAAATCTGTCATTATATTTTATTTTCTGATCTCCTGCAAAAGGCTGAATTATTGTTACATGGAACAGGTTGAACCTCTCTAATCCAGCATCCTCTGGTCCAGCAACAACCATGGTCCAGCATAATTTTACATACCCGGATGCCCATTCAACATGGGTGTGGCCAAGTTTCCTTCATAAAGTTTGTTTTTACAGCCACCAGTCCTAGCTCTCAGTTGTCTGTGTTTTTATTTAGCTCAAATTTAGGGTTAAATTACTACTAGGAGACTAGTAAGGAGTGTGAATGCTAAATTTAGATTAATAGGCTAATCAAATAGTTGATGCTGTTTGCATCATATATTCGATTAGTCTATAAGGAGCCTCGCCTTCCAAATGTAGCAACAGCCCCAGAGCTGCTGCTATACTTCAAAGTTGAAAGCACTGCAGGGAGCACTGGGCCACCAGGGGACTGATTGAGTCCCCTTACTCCCCATGGTGTTTCAAAGTGGCAGTACCACGTGGAGCCAGAGGCCAGCTGGGGACTCCCCTGCTGAGCCCAGCTCTATGCAACATTGCTGCTTTGAAACACAGCATGGAGCTGGAGTCCAGCTGGGGAGTCCCCAGCTGACCCTGGCCTCCACGCGATGCTGCCACTTTGAAATGCTGCAGGGAGCTCCCCAGGAGTCCCCAACTGACCCCAGCTCCACACAGCACTGCTGCTCTGAAGCCTCCCCTCCTTTTTCCCAACTCTTGCTGCCTTTCTGGTAGAGACTAGTCAACTAGTCTTTCACATCCCTAGTAAGCAGTAGGGATGTTAAGAATGTAACCAATTAACCAACAAGTTGATGCTTATGGATTGTTACTGGTTAAACTCTGCTCTGTTCCAGGGGATGGCTTTGCTGTGGGTTCTGCAGTATGAAACTTATGTGAGCTTTATAATGCAGAGCCCACAGTGCATGTAACTGTTAAGACTTTTTTAGAGGTTACACAGTTACCTTATTAAACAACTTAATGACTAACATTATAGTAAAATGTAGAAGTGTTGGTAATTCTGCTAAACAATATTGAATCCTTGTAATTAGGCAAATGTTCTCGTTTGCCACTGCTCAGGTCCCAAGGATGCCGGACAAGAGAGGTTCAAGCTGTGCTGAACTTTTACTCCTTTTTTCTTCTGATGGTTCATTTCCTAGCTACTTTAATGCTTTTGTTGCACTTCAATGAAAAACCATAGTTGGCTGAACTTCATTGAACAACATTTGTTATTGGTCAATGCACCAAAGTTCAGTGTGTTTTAAAATACAGAGAACACTGGTCATATTTTAAACCTCTCGGCTTGGTTAAAATTAAGATTTATTCTGTGATCATCTTTAAAATAAAGTTATGCTTAATCACTGCAGTCATAATTTAAACCGCATTTTAAAATGTGCTAATTGGGGTTTGAAGTTAAACTGGTTGTAAACAATGGATTTTAAAACTGATTATTTCACTTTAAGGCAGCCCATAATTAGGAACCCACATTTCTGATTATGTACTTACAGTTAACTTGGTAGGTTAAAAAATTATTACTGAATGATCTGAAGTTAGATTTCTTGGCTATTCCAGAACATAGGACAAAATTCTATGCTTTTAATTATGAACTCAAGATATGAAATTAGTCCCAGCCAGAAGTCCAAACTACTGAATCAGACTTATTCAGTTCTTTTTATTGCTTTTTTTTTTTTTTTAAACAGACCCATCTTGTATATTGTAATGAGGATGTATTTACATGACAGGGTTGTAATTTTATTTTGGAGTGCACTGTCCAATGAACATACCACAAAGTGAGCTGAGACTTCAAAAAAAAAATTGGCCTATCATAAACTACAGTACTAGAAAAGCAACAAAAAATACAATATTTTGAAAATTGACATGTTTTAAAATACTCCAATTAAAATAGTTTTGTACATTAATACAATTAAAAACAAATCTATCTTTCTGTTCTACAAAAGGAAATGCCAAACTGTGAGATGAGTCATTAAAAACACACAAAACATAAAGCCTGTAAGAAATCAAATTAAAACACATACACACACAGCTGGTTGTTCCATTACTCCCTGCCCTCAATCACAAAAACGTCTCATTAACAAGAAAAAGTTGTTTTAAAATGAATGGCATGCAGATCTAGTGCAGTAATTTTTTCCATGGTGATTCTATTCCTGGGACATACAGATGATCTCACAAAAATATTGCATCTCAATTATTTACTGCTGTTCAACATCCTATACTTAAAATGATAACATCACACAGACTTAAATTGATCTTTTTGCCAACCCCATGAAGATTATTGTTCACTCTCAGTAATGGTTGGAAAAGCAATTAAATGAATCTAGGGGAAAACCTACTTGTCTAACCAGCAGCATCACTGAAACAGATCCAAGCTCAAGCAAATCTTAAAAGAGCAGGATTGATATCTTCATCTCAGATCTTTAGGATTAGAGATCAGGCTACTACACAACTAATTACCATACTGGCTGTGTGAGTCTTTGCAGGTCACATTAAGTACACAAACTTAAAAACATTTACCAAATGAAGTAACATTCTATTAAATCAAAGTGCCAAAATACTGCATTTTAAATACAATAAGATGTAACTAATTGGAATTTTTAACCAGCAATACACCATGAACTTCATGCACAGTTCAATTTATGCCATTTCTGATACTGACTCTTACGAAGTTGAACTCATTAAGATTCAAATCAGCATGAAAGCTTCAGTTTCCAAACCACAGAAATCATCGGTGGAAAAAAATGTTCCTGATGTTGTATTTTACGCATAAATGGTCCCCTAGTGTTTTATTTTAGTCTTCAATGCTATCTTTAAAATAGTCTTTACTATTTGGCTATGAAGAATTACCTTCACAAATGTAACTTGTGAGTGTTCCTTAGCTAATTCAGCCATGACATCATTCATCTGAATGCACTGAGGAGCCCATGGTGCCCAAAAATGGACAACTACAAGAGACCTATGACAAAACAGAAATATATCTATGTGTTAAGAGAAACAAATAATTTTTCAAAATAATGGGGTATTTTGATGACAACTAGCTGTTAAATTCTAGTGACTTCAAAAGCATGGTCAGTTATAATGGAACAATGAATAATATTACATGAATTAATATAAAGCAAAGAATATAAAAGAAAGTTGTAATTTTTTGGATACAGAAAAAAGGAAAGCAACTGATATAAGATGAACTCTTACCTCAATAACTAAGCTATCCATGCTAAGGTTATTACAACTCACAAGGAAAAAAAAACCACACTAAGCACTGAAAGCATAAGGATGAAAAAAATAGTATTACAAAGAAAAAAGTTACAAAGCCTTGCCAAATTGATAGTGTTTTTAGAAGAATGGTGAGACGTTTGCTGAAAAAACAATACCAATGGTAAGGTATGCAACATAAAAAGGAGAAAGAATAAAAATCGCAACAGTTACAAGGAGATTGACATTTTGCTACCAAACCTGATTCTAGCAGAATGCAGCATTATATACAAAGAATGAGCAACAACTGAAGCAGGCAAAAAGACCTCAATTACTCACTAGGGGGTCACACACTTTGTTGTCGCTGTTGGCTGAGCTTATTGCACACACCAGGGGCTCCTTGCATCCTTTCATTACCCCCTACAAGCTCTGTGTGCCACCCGCAGATCCTCCTCTATTTCAGGGACTCATTGCAAAACCTCTTCCTCCCCCACCCCACATAATTCCCAAGCCAGGGGCTCTGTTTGTCCTTGCATTTCCCATCCCTCAGCATTCCTGGCCACCATTCTTACTCGCCTCGCCTTTCTTCTTTTCTCTCTCTTTTAGAATGTCAACAATTTAAAACTGTATTACAAGGACAAGCAGAGCTAATGGCTTGTCTAGAGATCAACACTTATTCCAGAATGAGCTTGTCTATACATGGAGTTAAAAGTTATTGTGTTAAATATAAAAAGAAAACGCCATCAAGTTGAGGGTTAAGTCTCATAACTTCAGCCAAAAAAGGCACTAATCACTGCAATGACAAAACATTTGGGTTTCACAAATAAACTGGAAAACACATAACACATGTCATTATTTCTGCAGGCTAAGTTCATTGCACACACCAGGAAATCCTTGCATTCCTCTGTTCTACACAAACTGTGCACCATCCTCCCACGTCTCAATTTCAGAGACTCCTAGCAAAGGCCCTCCACATTCCTTCATACAAGGGGCTCTGTGCCTCCCCTTTCCTGCCCATTACAGAGTTCTCTTCATTTTTCCTATGCAAAGGACCTTCCCATGCAAAGGACCCTGAGTACTCTCTCCTTTTCCTCCTCTGACCATAGTAGGCACCACACTCTGTGTGTACTTCTATTAGATCCACTCCACCCTGCCAAGGAATCTCTATGGCTCCCCATTTCCCCTTCCCAATACCAGGGCTCCATTCCCCCACCCTCACCATGGGCTTTGTGTACTAGGGATGTTAAATATCATTTAAATGAATAGTCAATTCATCTCATGAATTCTTATTGGTTACTCAACTATTCTATAGTCCCCAGGGGTGGGGCCAGCAGCCAGTGCGCTGCAGCCCTACCCCGAGGAGACCCCTGCCGCTCCACGCTGCTGCCTCTGTATCAGAGGCAGCATGGGGTGCCAGGCGGGAGCTGGTTTGCAGGGGTAGCCAGTTTAAAAACCAGCTCTCCTCATGAACCAGTTGCCTGTCACTCCATGCTGCTGCCTCGTGGGTCCTGAGCTCCTGGACCCAGCACGAGCTGGAACTGATCCGGGCTGCCTGCCTGGCTCCTAATACCCTTTAAATGCAGAGCCACAACAGGTGTAGGTCCCAGACCTGGAACAAGCTGGGACTGAGCAGAGCTGCTGGCCAGATTGCTAAAAATTTACTGGCGGAGGGGAGGGGAGAGAGAGAATGCATGTAGTCTATAGCATTAACCAATAAAATTTTTGCTCATTGGTTAATACTATCACATCCATATTGTATACACACCTATTTTTCCTGCAACAAGGGTCCCCAACTGCTCCTCCCCATCAGAAGTTCTGTGTGCTACCATACCAGAGTTTACCATTCTCCATCTCATCCATTATAGGGATTCTGCTCTCCCCTCACGCTGCTGCTTCTATCAGAGGCAGCAGTGGCGAGCAGGAGAGGTTGCTGTAGAGGCTGCTCCAGCATTCCACGGAGCCCAAGAGCTTGTAGGTTTTAAAAAAATGGCCAGTTCCATTAATAATGAGAACATTCACAGTTACATCAATCAGGAAGTTGTGAGAGAGAGAGAGAGAGCGCGCGCACGCACGCACATAAGAAAAAGTCAAAGTACAGGACTTAGTAGTGATGGGGAACTTGAACTATCCAGACATCTGTTGGGAAAAATAACACAGCAGGGTACAGATTATCCAACAAGTTCTTGGAATGCATTGGAGACAATTTTTTATTTCAGAAGGTGGAGAAAGTACAGGGGAAAGCTGTTCTAGATTTGATTTCAACAGAGAGGAACTGATTGAGAACTTGAAAATGGAAGGCAGGTTGGTGGAAGTGATCATGAAATTATAGAGTTAATGATTCTAGGGAATGGTAGAAGGGAGTAAACAAAAAGAAGAATGTATTTCAAGAATGCAGACTTTAGTAAACTCAGGGAGTTAGTAGGTAAGGTCTCATGGGAAACAAGACTAAGAGGAAAAATAACTGAAGAGAGTTGGCAGTTTTTCAAAGGGACATTAATTATTAAGGGCACGACAGCACATTATTCCAATGCAAAGAAAAGATAGGAAATATGGCAAGAGAACACCATGGCTTAACCAAGAGATCTTGAATGATCTACAAATCAAAAAAGACTCCTAAAAAATGGAAAGCAGGACAAAATAAAAGTTTGTAGTAGGGATGTTAGATATTGAGTAACTGAATAGTCATGTATGCTAAGATTTCATGTGGTTACACAACTACTCAATAGTCCCCTTGGGCAGCAACCAATGCACTCCTGGACCCACTCTTGGGGGACCCACTCTTGGGGAACCCCTTGCAGCCCTGTGCAGTTGCCTCTGTATCAGAGGCAGCAGCACAGGTTTGCAGGGGGAGCCAGTCCCCAAGGGAAGCCAGTATAAAAAACCAGCTCCCCATGCCGACAGGCTGTCGGCCGCCCCATGTTGCTGCCTCTGATACAGCCTAAGCTTACCGGTTAATCATATAATCGACTATACACTGACATCCCTAGTCTACATTAGACCCAGTAGTTCAGCTTAATGTATGCAACTCCAGCCACAAAAAAAACATAAGCCGATCTTGGTGGCATCCCCATATCAGGAGGCCAACAGGAGCAAACACTCCCATCAGCTTCCCTTACTCAATGCAAAAAGAGGCGTACTGGACACCGGCAGGGGTGCTATTCGAGTTCAATTTAATGAATCTTAACTAAACTCATTAAATCAAACTCTGGAAGATCAATTGCGGCAGTAGTGATTTTCCATGTAGTGAAGACAAGCCCTGAGATAAACAGGATGAAGTTCAATAAGGACAAACACAAAGTACTCCACTTAGGAAGGAACAATCAGTTTCACGCATACAAAATGGGAAGTGACTGTCTAGGAAGGAGTACTGCAGAAAGGGATCTAGGAGTCATAGCGGACCATAAGGTAAGTATGAGTCAACAGTGTGACATTGTTGCAAAGAAAAGCAAACATCATTCTGGCATGCATTAACAGGAGTATTGTGAGCAAAACGCATGAAAAAAAAAACGAGACGTGGCCTGTGTTCATGAAATCTCTTACCACCATCTACACGATTTGTTAGTCTATAAAGTGCTACCAGACCATTTGTTGTTTTTTTCTGTAACAGACTAACTCGGCTACCCCCTGAAGCTCCAAAACACATGAAGTAATTCTTCAGCTCTACTCTCTGCTGATTAGGATCAACTGGAATACTGTTTTCAGTTCTGTATCCACTTTGAAGGAAAGATGTAGAGAAGTTTGAGAGGGTCCAGAGAAGAGCAACAAAAATTATTAAAGGTCTAGAAAACTTTACCTATGAGCAGGGCTTGACAAATAATGCAATCTACTCGCCTGGAGCGAGTAGATTGCAACCCGGAAGAGCCGGGTTCGGGCCATCTGCGCATGCGCAGATCACCGGACATCGCGGCTGGTGAGCGGGGCTCACTGTGGTTCGGTGAGCCCTGCCTATGAGGGAAGACTAAAATAATTGGGTTTGTTCACTTTACAAAGGGGAGACTGGGAAGGGACATGATAGAAGCTTTCAAGTACCTAAAAGGGCGTTAAAAGGAGGAGGGAGAAAAAAATATTCTCCTTGACATCTAATACTAGGACAAGAAGCAATGGACTTAATTTGCAGCAAGGGAGGTTTTGGTTGGACATTAGAAAAAACTTCCTAACTCTCAGGGTGATTAAGCAGTGGAATAAATTGCCTAGGGAAGTTGTGGAATCTCCATCTCTGGAGATATTTAAGAGCAGGTTAGACAGACATCTATTAGGGATGATCTAGATCGGGCTGGGCATACATTTTTGAAAGGGAGCCACCTCACAAATGTTGGTAATTGGTGACAGGCCGGCTCCAGGCCCCCCCAGAAGGAGTGGGGCCTGAGACAGAAGAGGTGGGGTTGTGTATGTGTGTGTGGGAGTAAGAATTTGAGAGCGAGAGAGACAGGCTTTGTGACACACTGAGTATGTGCAGCACTGTGTGTGTGACAGTAACTTTGTGGCATAGACTGGGATAGTGCGTGTGACAATGACATAGAGAAGCCACACTCTGTGTCTTTAAGGGAAATCTGTCCTGCTCTATTGTCTCCCCGCCCGCACTCCTATGGGTCACGCTTCAGATTGGAGCAGCTATGCTGACTGCATCTCCATCTAGGATTCCTGCCATGCAGAGACAGGTTACAGGGGCAGAGGAACACCATGACTTCAGCTCTCTTCTGCACCTTGCCCCACCCCACCCCCCACATAAACTAGCAGGAGAATCCTTGAAGCAGCTTGGCTACAGGGTGAAGCAAGATGTGTGGGGGAGGGAGAAGCAAATGAACACACACTGCCAGCTGACAACAGCTGCATACCGTCATCTGTAAGTATGCACCTCTGCTAATCAGCTAGGCAGGCTGGAGAGAAATGATTGGTGGGCTGGATCCAGGCCTCAGGGCCTCAGTTTGCTCACCCCGATCTAGATGGTGCTTGGTCCTGCCATGAGGGCAGGGGACTGGACTGGATGACCTCTCGTGGGCCCTTCTAGTTCTAGTGTTCTATGTTTCAGCCATAAACTAATTTCTAACTAATGAAAACTAGAAAGAATCTTTCTCTGTTGGCCCGGTTATTCAATAGCTATCCACAACAGGGTCTCTTATACCTCCTTCCAAAACTCCAAATATAGATCAGAGACCTGCTCCAGTATGGCTATATGTATGCTTTATTGTTAGCTTTCTTAAACTGTTTTCAGCTGAATAAATGAAGAGTTAAGGAGCATTAATATAGCTGGACAGAACAACTACTCAGGGATACAAGTTCCAAATTCTTCAGTGAAG